ATAATTTTGGGATGTTGAGAGCCACAGCCGAAGGGGCTGCCAGCAAACTTCCAGCTGCCAACTGATTGGCTCCTCTGCGGTGATGCTCATTGGGCTGTTTCCCCGCCCTTTCAGACCACGGAGCTGCTCATTGGGGGACTTTTTTTGGCTCTGCCCACGTGACCCAGCCAATCAGCCTCAAGAGCAGGAGGAGTGGGGGAGGTTGAGAGGCTTGTGGGAAGCCAGTGGTGGCAGTTGGGCTCTGAAGTTTTTTCCTGAGGAGCTGTGTGGTTTGGTGTGTGTTCTAAAAATAAAGTTCGTTTCTTTTGACAAGTAGCTCCTGAATTGTGCCCAGACAGACTGCGGCATTGGGATGTTCTGTTCATGGTTTCTTCACTGTGTGATCAACTTTATTTTCCAGATTGTATACTTTGTCTTCATTATCTGACGTTCTTTCTTCCAAGTGATCTAGTCTGTTGGTTATGCTTTCTATTGAGTTATTTATTATATCCTTCATTTCAAGGGTTTCTGTTTTTTTTTCCCCCAGAGTCTCTTGAAGTAATCTTTTGCTACCTGTATTTGCTCTTATCTCATTGTTGGAGTGATCACTTTTTGCCTATATTTGCTCATTCTTTAATTATGAACCTTCTGAACTCCACATTTCATCAACTTTTCTTTCCGTGGGTTCTGTTATTACAGTAACCTGGTTTGTTTGGGGCACTTTCCTCCCTTGTTTTTTCATGTTGTCTGAGATATTTCAGTTTCTACCCTACATTCTTGTGTCTGTGCAGATTCTCTGGAAGCCCATCTCACCTTGATGGTAGGCTTCCAGACCCTGCTGGTGTCCCTCAGTGTGTGCTACTGCATCTAAAGGTGGTGGTGGCAATAGCTTAGATAAGGTGCCCCGACATGGAAGCAATGTCTTATAGAGATGGGGCTGAAAAGGTGGGCCTCACTCTCTTTGGGATGCCAACTTTGAGATGAAGCTGCTTCTAGATCCTGTCTGTTGTTAAAAAGTTAGGGGTTACTGTGTGGGGAAGGCTAGGGTGGTGACTGCAGTGTCCTAAGATGGGTTAAGCTCCCAGGTGTTGGGGGGCAGAGTGAACTCGGACCTACTCTGGACCTGGGTCCATGCAAGTCAGTGTGGGTGGATTTGGGCTGGGCCTGGCCTCCTGCAGTAGGTGGGAAGAGGCGGTACTGTGCTGGAGGCTGGGCTCTGGCGGGTGTGGGTTGATCTGGGCAACCCAGCTTGCCTACCTATAGTAGTCTGCTGCTCCAAAATTTGTTATTTCTGAGTAGAGTCTTTCCACTGTAACATGGTATCTTTAATAAACAAAGGGGTTCAGAAAAAAGTTGAGACAAAACTAAGGAATATTCCAGTTCTTCTGATAGGCCTTAGCTCCTGGTTGTTGATCATAAATGATCTTCTAGAGTATACATATCTCATGCGATTATCAACAGTAAGCGTGGGGTGGACACCCAAGGGCATGAGTCCCTCTGGGCAATGTAAACAAGTTTGAGGTTGGGGTTCACTAAATTGTACAACATGAGATGATATCCAGGGCTTGGGAATGAGACCTCTGTTGGAACACCCTTTGGCATTGCTTACACCATTAGTTTCTTTCATCCTTTGGTGGTGTAGGTCTGTTTTTGAACAATATATTTAAAAGTCATAATATAGAACACTTAGAAGAAAAAGCCCAGAGTCGTGATCAGGGACTTCAGTTATTTTTATAAATTATTTGATGTGATGGCAAGATGCATATTCTCCTGTTCACAGAAAACAAGTAGATGTTTATTTTTGCTGTGTGCAGGAGGGAGGGAAGGAGATATGACTGGAGCAATGGAGCCTCCCCAATGTAGGGTTTACACTGTTTTCCATGGGTCTTTGGCCTAGAAATGGAAGACACCCCTTGCCCCTCCACCCAGATCTGTTTTATCTGTGATTTGATGTTTAAATGGGATAACTCCAGCTTCTCCTCCATGTTGTTTATTTACCATTTTTTGTTGGGTGTGAACTTGGCCCGGACACTTGGAGGTATAGCTGTGAGCACAATCTTAGTCCCCATGGAGAAACATCTGGTAAAAGAAATTACAAGAATGATAGGTTAAAACGGGGAAGGGTAGGTTATTGTGATGCCTTGTAAAAGAAACCACTTACCTAGTTTGAGGATGTTTCCACAAGAAAGCAAGCTGTTTGAGAGGTGAGAGAGTGTAGTAAATTTAGGATTCTAAAAACTGTAGGATGGTTGGAGCAAGAACCCAGGAGAGGTGGCAGCTTGTGGGATTGGAGAACTTCCTGGGGTCACGATATAAGAGGGCATTATAAGCAAGATAAAGAAATCATATTTGGGGTTGTGTGCTTCATAGTGACATCAGATTTGTGCTTTTAAAATTCATTTAGGAATTCAGTGTAGACTTGATGGATTGGGGGGAACAATTCTAGAGACAAGAACACAAGTCACTGAAATTGTCAATGATGGTAGCTTGGACCAACAGAATATAAATAAGAGATAGGCAGACAAAATATTTAGAATGGGAAGGATTTGGTGACTCATTTGCACATGGAGTAAAGATCTTTGTGTTTCTTGTCTGAGTCTTTGGTAGATATTGATGCATTTCCTGAAATGAGGACACTGGTGGAATAGCAGGCTGGTTCCTCAGGAGCATCTGTTTCTTGAACCATACATTGTTCAGAGCATGACAGAGCCCTTCCTTCAAATGACTTAAGACTTTAATGACTTTTTTTTTTAACCAAATGTAAACAGAACTATTGGAGAAAAGTTGTCAATTTGATTACAGCTGTGATAAAAATGAATAATACAATGCATATAAGAAGGTCATCTGGCCAGGCATATGTAATCCCAGTGTCTTGGGAGCCAGAATCACAAGTTCAAAGCCAGCCTCAGCAAAATTGAGGCACTAAGCAACTCGGTGAGACTGTCTCTAAATAAAATACAATATGGGGATGTGGCTCAGTGGTCAAGTGCCCTTGATTTCAATTCCTGGTACCCCCCACCAAAAAAAAAGGACAACTGACCAGTTATGGGAAAGATGATTTCCTAAGGAAGTAACTTTGGGTAAGAAAATTCAAAATTACATGGAAAGAGCTTACAAGGTCAGGAGCCCTCGAGAGAAGCATCTTGTAGCCTGTGTTAACCAAATAAAAATGGCTAGTGTGTGGAATTCTGGGAGCAAAGAGGAAAGTGATGCATGGAGAGGTTCATGAGGCAGGGATCATGTGATGGAATCTGGACTTCATCCTGACAACAAGAGGCAGCCCGAGAGGGTTTTTAAAGTAGGAGATCACTCGGGGTTAAATCATTCAACACTGTGAAGTTGTTCAGTGATTCCAAAGGTCCTATCATGCTATTGCCATAACAAAATACCTGAAATTAGATAGTTTACAAAGAATGTATACCTGTGACTCACAGAAGCTGAGAAATCCAAGTACATGGAATCTGCATCTAGTGAAGGCCTTCTTGCTGTGTCACATCAGGGTAAAGGACATCATACAGTGAGACAGACCAAGCTTGTTAGCTTGTGTCTCCCTTCTTATAAAGCCACTGATGGGGCACTCATAGTGATATCTCCTGATATCATTAACATAGAATTTTAAAGATGAAATTTCCAATGCATTAACTTTTGTGGGGCACAGCAGGTCTTCCCCATGTATTGGATATTCTACTCATTCTCTATAGGACAAAGGGGGGCCTGTTTCTTATACACTAGCAGCACTCATTTTGTTCCCAGTGATAAACTCAACTAAAGCCCTTACTGGCAGCAAGGGTATGGACTGGGAGTCTCTCTGCAATTCAAATCTTCCCCAGGATGTTAATCTGGTAAGCCTACAGTTACTCCAATTTTCCACTGGATACAGTCGTCAGCAGTAGACTTAACTGCTCTCTTTGGAGCAGAAGGCGACACTCCCCAGGTCTACCACCTCTGATAGAGCTACTGCTTAGCCACTGGCCTCAGCCTCTGGATTACAGGGGGGAGAAGCAGTGTGTTTTTTTTTTTTGGGGGGGGTGTACTGGAATTGAACTCAGGTGTACTCAATCACTGAGCCGCATCCTCAGCCCTATTTTATATTTTTTAAAGTTAGGGTCTTACTCAGTTGCTTAGCACCTTGCTTTTGCTGAAGCTGGCTTTGAACTCACAATCCTCCTGCCTCAGCCTCCTGAACCTCTGGGATTATAAGCATGCACCACCGTGCCTTCTTGATCAATGGCAGCTGTTACCACCCAGGTGGCAGTGGATGGTAATAGGAGTTGACTTCCTAAAGGGTAACTGCTTTTTTTTTCTGCAAGCTAGCCCAGTGGACCTGATTGTCTAAGAATCTGGAAGTACCAATAGTTTAATGACAACACACTGTGAAAGCTCTTCTATCCTTCATTTGGAGGCCTCTAAACACTTGGCACAGATTTGTCCTCCTACCACACCACTATTTAAACCTTCTCCTAGTTAGCTATCAGTTCCGAGGTTCAACTCACCTCCACTAAGTTCATGAACCAATAGACACAGTGCATGGCAGAGTAGCCCTTCAGTAAGTGTTCAGGGATTTGAGCTTAATTTGGCCGGGGATGTTGGTGTAAGACCACCATATTTCTGAGAGTGGGAAAAAAAATTTAAAAGACCATGGCTGCCTAATATTTAAACAAGCTTTTCACTGTTTAAACTAGAGCATTTTTCTGCCCAATGCAGAAACTCAACAGAAACAGGTTTACAATCTAGCATTGGACTTCCATATGGCTGAGTGTGACAAATGATGTCATTTGTCACAGATATGCTAGTCACCAACAGAATGATGAATGGTTCCAAAGGCAGGTTGAAAACACCAGTTTCTCTGCTTTTCAAAACTTACAGGTTTTTTTTTTTTTTTTTTTTTTTTAAAGTTACCAGACTTATAGGCCTGCTAAGGGCAAAGGGTGTAGACCTTGATGGGAAGGAGATGGGAATTTTTACTGGCAGCTATGGAACGACTGTTTCTCATTACCTCCAAATTTGGCATTGCTTTTCAGGAGTGGCCGGAGTGGATACCCTTCAATGAGTCCACTCTCCCCCCAGGAAATATTCCAGTTGGCCTGTATGGACCCAACCGAGGATGGACAATTCCAGGAACAGCAATCTCTGGTGAATGAACGAGTTACATGATCTCGAAAATACTTTCTTGGTTTCCTGATCCCTCCCACTCTTATTTTAAAATTTTATTTCATAGCCATGATCCATCATGAAAACCCCTTTTGGTAGTCTAACCAGTTTCCCTGGGAGTTTCCTACTAGTTTTTCATGTTTTCTAAGAATGTTCAGTCTTCAGGTTTTACAGTCTCAGAGGTCCCTTCACTACTACAGGAACTCATGTTGCCCTCTTAGTTTATGTCCTGGATCATCAAATGTAGGTGGCAAAAGTCATGTAAAATCTTGCCTTTGATAGAGTGGCACCGGCCATGTGGCATAGTGTACCAAGAACTGCTTGTAAGAACACAGAAATGCCCCTGCCAGGTCTCAGTGGCTAGCTTTCTGCCAGGAGGAGGCACAGAAGACTTGACCACCTCTGCGTGGGTTCAAGCAAGTGGTTCCACAATTCTACAAGGTCAAATACATCCTAACAGGCTCTTAAAGTCATTTTCCTGAACCCAAAATGAGTTTTTCATTAGCGTTGATGGTGAAATTTCTGAGAGGCCTACTGGGCCAAGTTAAAGTTTGAAGAAAGGCAGACTAATGTTTTGGCTTTGCTAACACAAAGCTACAAGGTGATTCCCAAAGCTAATCAACTTTACCATTATTCCTAGTTCAGGAGCAGTGAGCTCAAGTTCCCTCCCAAGCTTAATTGGACTGGAGAGGAAATGACAAAACGCAGCCTTTGCAAAAGTCTGTATAGACAGCTAGTACTGAGTGAGTTCCGTATCACTTTGATTCATCTGTGGTTCTTTTTTTCTCCTGACTCCTCTCTGCTCTACTGTATATCTCAGAGCCATCCTGAACAGATATCCCTCAGAGGGAGCAAACCCTTCAGTAGCTCAAACAAATGGGTGATTCTGTCCTCTGGGATTGCTGAGGCTTGTGTGGGGGACACCTCTAGGCCAGAAGTCTCTGGTGCATGAGTAATTTATCCAAGGGTGTCTGTGAGGTGGGTAGAATTTCTTGGAATAATTCTGTCTTCCCCTCTGAAAAACTTAACATCAAAACCTAGGGACTAATGGGTCCAGGTAATTTTATTCTTAAAATGGTCTCACAGCATTTTACAGCTTGCTTGCCTGGTGATATGTCTGGTAAGAAAAATTTCCATGAGACTTTATTACCTCATTTCTGTGGGTTTCTCCAGGGCTGAGCTGTAGTGCCAGGACTTTCTGGATGTGCGTTCATCTTGTTGTCAGTTCTGGTGTCTGTAATTTAATTCAGGTGTCAGCTGTGCTACACACTCACCACTGTGTACTTCTGCACATCCTGAGGCGTGGCCATAATTTGTGCGTGTGCATATGGAGTGTGTGTCTCACACCACCTCTGACACCTGTACCCTGCAGTGTTGTTACCACGTCTGTTTGGAGTCGGAACCATGTGCCATATAGAGCATGTATCGCAAACACTAGTTTTCTCAAGTGCACATATCACGTTCCTGGTAAGGCCCTCCTCTCATGCACACCAGAAATCGCTGAGGAGAGTTCCCAGGTGCCTCTTCCTTTGGAGAATACCCTGCTCATACCCTGATACTTTTAGGATGTTGTTTTCTAAATATAAAAAATGTTTTTTTTTTTAAATATAATTTCCATATGCCCTAGATGTTCTTAGATCTCTTCTGGGTGGCCCACGTATGCATCTCTAAGGCAGCTCTGTTCTCAAGTGTCGCTGCCTAGCTGTCTTTCTAGAGCAAGCACAACTGCCACACTGATGACCTTTGATCAGAAAATTAACAAAGGAGTTTGACAGGGACATAGAGCTAACCATCTAACACTCCAGAGGGGCACAATCCAATACATGTGGTACTTAGCCCTTGAAGAGTCTAAATAAAATGTAAAATTCCAATGATTACATAAGTAGCTTGCATTATATTTCTATTAGATGACGCTAGTTGAGAGCATCCCTGACAGGGGGCCACCTGTCACATTTGGGATGGTTTCAGTCGCAAGAAAACTCTTGTCTAATGAAATATACATTTGATATCAGAGTAATTTCCCTTACAATTTAACAAAAATTCTCTTCAGATTAAAACAAATCGAACAGTAACACCTCTCAAAGTAAACTTCACGTTTCATAACGCCATAATATCTGAAGTACTGCTTAGCAGTTGGTCTTTACCTTTCAATCCCAGTTAGAATTTTGGGACATCTGGTATATGTACACACATACACAACTGAGACCTTCAAGATGCCAGTCTCCCTTCTGGAGGCAGAATCATCTCCTGGAGGTGAGAAGCAATGAGATGGAACCAAGTCCCACAAGCTTGGCTGTGTGTTTATTTCCAGGAGCCAGAGGTTAGTGAAATAAAAAGCGTGCAGTCCTCTAACCATGGCATCTGCCTTCCTTCGGACACCCAGGAGCGTGCGGGATCGGGGAGGGCATCCTCTATGCCACGCCTGACCGTGGATCCCCAGGTAAAAAGCAACCACCAGGTATCTTATGCAGTGGCATCCCAGGCTGTATTAGGTGGTGGTGACACACCTGATGTTTTCAGGTGAGCCTGAACTTGCTCCCATCCCTTCTGTAAGAGAGCCTGCTCCTCCATTGTTTTCAGTGAGCCCCTAAACACAATAGCCTAGCCAACAAAATGGCATAACTTCCCCCAGGGGACTAAGCATTCTCAAGACTTAAGCAGCCAAGCAAGAAAGATCTTCCAGGATTTTCTGTGTATTTCCCCCCAAGCACACATGCATTACTTACACACAGCTGTATGTCAGGACTGTCTTAGCCAATGCAGGCCACGCCTCATTTCTTTGTCTGTTTTCCTGGCTTCTTTTTTCTGTCTGTCTGTCGTACATCAGGTTTTGACAGAGACAAGAAGTTTTGGTGGATCTGTGGTTGAAGGTGGGCTGGTTAAGAGGGAGAGTGGAGCTTTCTTGGTTGTTAAATTTCAAGCTTTTCTGGGCTCCAGTGCTACAGGGCAGGGCCTTCTCTACACGGGCAAAACCGTACTTCTTCTAGGCTTGACCTTTTTGACAGTGGCCCTCATGTATTTCCAAGGGCTCAGGGCCTGCCCGGTTTTGCCTGGTGTACCCAGGTGCTCACATTCTTGAGCATGAAGAGAAGATCCTGGGCCAGTTTTCAGTGACTATGTTAACATAATCAGGGCACTTTCTTGAGCAGCCTCTCTAGCTAAAGTCTTGAGTATGTGGGATTGGGAGTGAAGGGAGGCTGGATTTTCAGAGTGCATAACTTGCAGTTCTCGACAGTCTGCATTCCACTGCTGGACATTTAGTCCCCTTCAATAATTAATCCCATTCTGTGTTGCTCTGGGGATTCAAATTTCCAGGTGGTGACAGACCCCAGCTCCATGAGACGTTCATTTTCTACTATTCGGGATAAGCGTTCAAATTCCTCATGGTTAGAGGAATTTTCCATGGAACGAAGCAGTGAGAACACCTACAAGTCTCGTCGCAGGAGTTACCACTCCTCCCTGCGGTTGTCAGCCCACCGCCTGAACTCCGACTCAGGTGAGGGGGTCTTCAGCATGGCCCCTCTCGTCACGCATCTGGCTGGGCCGTGGGCGCCTATCCCGATGGGCTTAGTCTGGCAAGGACCATAGATGACTGGAACAGAATTTAGAGGGAAGGGTGCTCCCATGACTGACTTAACATCTTGAAGCAGGCCAGAGCCTTCTGTATTCATCATAAATGCCGATGTAGTTCCTTCCGGAGTAGGGCTGTACAAATCAGTAGAATTGAGGTTTTTCAAGCAACCTTTTGCAAAACCATAGAGCTTCCTTAGGATGTATTAGGACCCACGTTTATTAAAACTGCCAACTCCACTTCACCCAAATAGCACCACCTGGAATTGTTTCATGGATTTGGGTTTAAGGTTTTTTTTTTCCCCTTTCAAAATGGGAAAACATGGACAGGAAAAAATAAATAAATAAAGTATTAGTCTAATTCAACTTATTTTAATAGAGGAAAGAACCAGTTGAAAAATAGTGACTTGCCCAATATCGTGGAGACTAGACCCGAGATCCTTTGACTTCAACCCCAGGGTTCTCACCCTGGTGTCATTATTTCATTCATAGCACTGAACAGAAGAGAATGGAGAAGATTCTATCTTCCCCCACAAAAGCTACACACTCATATATAGGACAAAGAGAATTCCTGAGCCATATTTTTGGCAAAGATTCTATCTTTAGCATAAATTGAAACAAGAGAACAGATTACCACTAGAAGGACAGGTATGTCAAGAATGCAATGTGCGGACTTACCTCCTCACAAAAGGGTCATTTTCTAGCATTTCTCTCCTACTTCCTTTGAGATCATCTTTTGACATGAAGATCTGGTGTCTAGTTACGGCCTTCTCACAGGATGGAGAGTGGGCCCTTATCCCATCATGAGGGCTCCACTCTGTCCCTTGGGAACATAAACATGCAGTTCATGGCTGAGTTGTAACACCAAATGAGAGTCCAACTTTAGGGGCCAGAGTAAACTGAGATATAACTAATTTTGTCACCTCTTACAGGTCACAAGTCTGACACCCACCGCTCAGGGGGCAGGGAGCGGGGACGATCGAAAGAACGAAAGCATCTTCTCTCTCCTGATGTCTCCCGCTGCAATTCTGAGGAGCGAGGGACCCAAGCCGACTGGGAGTCCCCAGAGCGCCGTCAGTCCAGATCCCCCAGTGAGGGCAGGTCACAGACCCCCAACAGACAGGTGAGCTCAGAAGGCAAGTTGAGCCTTTGGCAGGACAGAGAAAAAAGGGTTCTGACAGTAGGAGCAGAACACGGTCATCGCACGCCCTCAGCGATCCAAGTTCCCCAGAAAACAGCAGCATAGAGGCTAGCTGCTTTCTGCTTCTATGCTCAGAGATGATGTGAATTCACAGAAAACCAGATTTCTCCCCTAAGAAAGATGGTAGTGGCCAGAGGTCCTGTCCTCAGAATCCAGGTGTTTGGGAACAAAGGGTAGTCCTTAAGTCAGAGGATGTCCAGCCATCCTAAGCGGGGAACCACCTCTCCTCTGGCTTTTCACTGAAACCCTGATCTATACCTAATAAACAGCAGCTGTATGAAAACTTTCTGACCCAGTATCAACCCTCACCCCCAGCCATAGTTCTCCTCAATGCTCTTTGAGCCCAGATGCAGTCAGCTAGAAGGAACTAAGGGAGATTTTGAGAGGAATGGGCAGTTTGCCTTCTAGAATGATGTTTTTCCAATTTCACTGTAGGACAGAATCACCTGTGGAGTTTGCTATCATCACACATTCCCAGGACCCAGAAGATTCTAGTATTTGAAACTATCAATCAGATGGTTCTTAGGTCATGTACACATTGAGCAGTACTGTGCTGGCATCCACTCAATATGCCAGCTCTAGTACTCTTGGGAATAGGCAAAGATGTCATGAAGGACTCCACTAATGTGTGGCTACAGGAGTTGAGGACAGCAAGGGAAGGAAGTTGATTCCCTTAGAACCCACTTTCCAAAAAGTTTACCCGACAGAGCAACTCCCAGTGTTCCTTCATCTTTCACCGAGTTGTGTCTTTTTCTCAGGGCTGCCCCTGGAACTTATCCCCAGAGAATTGTTTGCATGTTGAAAGTTGAGATGTCCTGGTCTAGGTGGTATGTCCCTGAGGGTATGGTACAGGGGACTCCCTCCTCAAACATTAGACTCCAAGGGCTCTTTGGAGAAGGGGTTAGGGACCTTAGCAGGGCCTCAAGTGGTGATCAGTCTAACATGCCATGTTTCTCTTGCTGTGTAGGGCACCGGGTCCCTGAGTGAGAGCTCCATCCCCTCCATCTCTGACACCAGCACCCCAAGACGAAGTCGTCGGCAGCTTCCATCTGTCCCACCAAAGCCTCGGCCCCTGCTTTCCTACAGCTCCCTGCTGCGACACACTGGAAGCATCTCTCCCCCTGCCGATGGAAGTGAGGGTGGATCTCCTCTGACCTCCCAAGCCCTGGAGAGCAGCAATGTTTGCCTGGCTGAGTCTTCCAACTCTCCACACCCCCAGCAGGGCCAGCATTCTTCCCCACAGCGCTACATCTCCGAGCCCTACCTGGCCCTGCACGAAGACTCCCATGCCTCAGACTGCGGCGAGGAGGAGACACTCACCTTTGAAGCAGCTGTGGCTACTAGCCTGGGCCGTTCCAACACCATCGGCTCAGCCCCTCCCCTACGGCACAGCTGGCAGATGCCCAATGGGCACTATCGGCGACGGAGGCGTGGGGGGCCTGGGCCCGGCATGATGTGTGGAGCTGTCAGCGACCTCCTGAGTGACACAGAAGAAGATGACAAATGCTAGAGGCTGTTCCCCCCTCCGATGCATGCTCTTCTCTCACAGGGAGAAAACCAAGACTGAATTGGGAAGCCCGTGCGGCCCCGGGGGGGAGGAAGAGGGAGAAGGAAGATGTGTGCATTAGCAGAAGAGGAAGTAAAGGACAAAAGGAAAAGCAGTCAAACCCACCAAACCGCTTTATTTCCCTTTGCAAGATGGGCACTGCCATAGTTCTGCCTCTTTGCTGGGGAAAGAAAGTACAGGAATATGGAGGGTTAGGCCCATGGAAGAAGGGACATGAGGGTGGCTTGCCTTCCCGGCCCCTTCCCACCTTTCTATAAGCCCAGCAGGGATCTGGCTGGCCTGTGTCTACACTCATTGCCCTGTGCAGACTGTAACTGGGGATCAGTGGAGACCGAAGGAGACCAATCTCCTCCCCACGACTGCCAGCAGGGAAACTGCAGCAGCACCTCACACACTAGCCTGTGGCTTGCTTCCCCCCCGAGAAGCGCAAGCCAAGTCAGGAGCATTGGCTGCCCAAGGAAGCACGCAGGAAGGGAGGGTGGAAGAGCTCAGGGTGCTGTGGCAGCCGCATGGGCTGGTCTGGGTGAGAAAAGCCATAGCCCAGCAGCCCGTATCATGGAGGTGAGGGCCAGAGAAAGGACCGGAGGTGCTGGTGGGTACAGTCCTAGATCCTGAGGCCTGTTATCCATGTGTAGGTGCTGTGATAGTGAGAAAAGGTAAAGAGGTCCCTCACGGACCACAACCGTGCCTGCAGCTCCGGTAAGGGTGATGTTGTTAAACAACACCTGTGGCCAGGCACCAACCTAGGTCAAGTTCAGCCACAGTGTGGGAGCCCATGCTGTCCCCCACAGTGGCTCTTTAGATGCTGGTTGGGGGAAACCCTAGGGTAGAGGTAGGGAACCTAGGGACTCAGTTTGTTTTCCAACCAGCATAGGAGTAACTTCATATTGGGAACAGTGCTACAGCCATACCAGCACATCCTGGTTGGAGGCCAGTATTGAACCCATGTGCCAGACAGTCTTTTCTGCCACTTCCCCAAGACCCACCCTCACCCACTAGGGACTTCTATAAGGATGGGAAAAGTTGATAGACTAAAATGAGAAGTGTCAGTTGATCAGGATGTTTATGATGATTAGTAAATATACCTCAGCTTCAACCTTGGCTGCTGCTTCTAGCAAAGTAGGCTCTGATGATGGGGTCCCCCCAAGCTCTGAATGTTCCCTGGACCAGGGCTGGGCTTTACCCTTCCCCAGAGTAAAAGCTGGGCAGAAGACAGCCTTCAGCCACGATGTCATTCCCAACCTTCCATACACAGATGCAGTGAGAGAGAAGCTTGGCCTGTCAGTGTTCCTACAGCATACGCTTGATTGCTGCAATCCACGGAATACGTCCTGTCCATCTGGTGGAGATGCACCAGGCCCTTAAGCCTCTCCAAAGTGCCATCACAGCAGGTGAATGACTATTCTGGAGGGGGTGTCAGGCAGGGCCTTCCTTAGGGAGACTTGAGGACCCCTGTAGTGGGAGCTCAGTGGATAAACACTTACTTCATCCCCCTCCAGACAGAGTCCCTAGGACTCTTAGGTATGAAAAGTCCTTTTTCTTAGAAGGAGCTTCTCCTTTCTTGTGAAGTTGTTTCTTTTCTTCCCACTGCTGGGTTGAATAGAAATAAGGCACAGCCACAGTTGTACTGACAAGCCAAATTCAACCAGTGGCTGGAGAGTCACTTGTGCTAGGCCTGCCTGATCTTCTAGGTGATGATGGAGCTTCCTGACTCATGGTCAGCCCCAAACCAAAGTAGTCCCAGGACAGGGGGCCAGTGAGACAGATACCAAGGTTTCCCACTTATAGACCCTCTTCCAGCTTTGCCATTTTTCCTCTCCCACTCAGCATGTGTGTGCTTGGGGACAGCTGGGAATATGATCCTAATGGGTGTGCTCGTGACATGAGACTCTGATGCTGGGCCCTGTATAGTTTCAAAGGTTCTCTCTGCTCAGCCTCACTCCATGCCAATGTGCTACTGCGGGCTGCCTTGTGTGTGCACAAAACTGCTTTCCTCACCCCAGATGGCAGCTTTCCTTAAGGAAAGCCTACAGTGGGGTGGCCATTCTAGCTAGCAAATGGCGATAGTTTATGCCATTTCAACAGTCATAGAAATGTGGGCCGACAGAGTAATTGTCAGTAATGGAATTTGCAAACAATAATTCTGCACACTGAGTTCCTGAATAAAGCACTGTTAAGTTATGAAGTGCTACAGGTGTGGTCACCTGACCACTTGTTTTTGATTTTTAATACTAATGAAATTATGAACTTGCTTCTTTCATTGAACTTCCCCTAAACAAGAAACCAGTTTTTTCCCCCTTAGCCTGCACTTACCCTTCTATTAAGACCAGAAAATGAAAGAGGATTTTCTGGTAAGTCATGATCTCATAATCATCATCTTTGGTTTCCTCCTGCCTCAATATAAACAGGAATGCCACCCTTCCCCCTTGTAGTCATTGAGGACTTCCCTTCCTACATCTCAGATTTTCTTTACCTTGAGAGGAATCCCCCTTAGACTCAAAAGCCCATGCTTCTCTTGTATTAAGCACCACAGCTGCATCTTGTGATATGCCGCATGATGAATCTGGGCACTGGAGGTTCCTTCCGAAGATTCTTTAGCCAGATGTCCAATTACTCTTGCTAATGTTAGTCTTCACCATCTCCTCAAAACAAGGAGAGGAAGAGGAGAATAAACCAAGGTAGGGAGATGCTGTAACCAGGTGTGTATTTATCCCTCTCTTCACTCAAGGCTCTGACCAGTCAGGTGGGGAATGCACACCACCATCTCCCTCTTCAGGAGGAACATGCCAGCAACCCTCAAAGGCTTGTAACCAGGCGCCCTGTGAGCCAGGGTTGACAAAGAATCACCTAGCCTGTGGAGGCATGGTGCCCTGAGCATCCTCCAAAGGAGCATGAAGACAACTACCCACAGGCAGGGGGTGTTGGGGGTGCTGTTCCACTCTTCCAGCTGAAGAAGCTATTTCTGTTCCTGGCATCTCTTCTTCTCACCATCCCCATAGTGTACTGAGGGCACTGAAAAACATTTTCCTGAAGCTGACCCCCAAGCCTTCTAAATTTTGCCCTCCTTTGACTCTGTGGCCAGAAAGAGAAGACTTTTCCCCTTCCCTACACACATCCCTGACCCCCCACTGAGCCCACATCTCCTCTAATTTCCCATCCCCACCTTGGTTTCGCTGCCTCTTAGCCATTTTAGGATTGGGTCTGTGCTGAATCCAGCCAAGCCAAGCTGTTTGCTGGCCTGACTGCCTCTACCATTAGAGAATGTTGTCTTCTAATGAAGTAAGTCCTGGGACTTACTAGGTGATCTTCATGGGGCCATCAGAGGTAGGCTGTAAGGTGTGCATGAAATGTTCTCGATGAAAGCTCACTGCAGAGAAGGCTCTTGGCATAGCAGGACCGCATTTACAAAAAAAAAAATTAAGTAGGAAGTTCTTAACATTTCATTACATCCTATTTCTAAAGCCTGCTATGGATATTTTGGTTTTGGACAGAGTAGTCCTTTAGTGGATGGAGCTAGGGGTGATTTGAGAGATTCATTTCTGAGCTGTTATAATATTGAAATACTGTGAGGCTATGTGTAAAGGGTAAACATAACAGAAGGGAAGCAGACAGTCTCACAAAAATCTCTGCCTAATGAGAGACTTGAAAGTTAAAGAACTTTCACTGCTTTGTTGTTGATTGGTATCTTACCAGTCTTGTTTTGATCCTTCAAAGGCCCAAGGCTGGCACATACCAAGAATCCTGGTGAGGACTATTCCCAGCAGATGCCTCATCTAGCTATAGGACAGGCTGGATTCTAGAGGACTGAGCATGGTCCAGGGAAAGGAAGAAGAGGTGGGCCCTTCACTAGTGGCCAGAGCATGACAGGTTAACTCCAGACGACAGCCTTTGAGAAACCAGGTTTGGATATCTTATCTTTACATATATCCATGATGAGATGGATAAATGAACAAAATGTAAACAAAATTAACTGAGGGGTTATGACCTTACTTTTGCCATGAGGTGATCAAAGGAGATGCTATATTAATAATCACTGCCTGTACCAGGAGCTTTTGTTTTCCCTGAATCACCCCATACATCTTACCCAGTACTACCCCAAGTAGAGCAGCCATCAATGACTTCTCTACTGGCCACAGACTACTAGGGTGGTCAATCACCATATGCTGCAACTCACCCAGAGTACATGGATGTACTTCAGGGGAGGACAAAGGACTAGGAACAGAAAGAACTACCTTTGGTTTATGGTGGCCATCTTTTCCTTTACTTGAATCCTCTTTTGTATTTTGACTTTCTAGGGTTTATGCATCCCTAAAAAGTCATACCAAGCCAAAAAGAAGAAAGACTTACAGATTGTCCTGACCTTTCCAAAGGGCCTTGAAAAATATAATCTGGATAAAATTCAAGCCAGTTGGTTGAGAAGTACTTATGGGGCTCCCAGCAAAGTGTAATGGGATGGCTGCTGAGGTACCCCAATGTCCTTCTATTTTTGTATTCTTCCTTCTATTCATCCCTTCCTACCATGCTATAAGTAGGAAGGTTAGTATCTTGACCTGCTAAATGCAAAAAGTAGCATGGCTTATTGTAAAGTCTCTATGTAAATACATTCTCGAGGTTTGAATTCTTATTTCTGGAAGTATGAAAGAGTTAAGCAGATGAGGTAGAGAGGTGTGGAGATCTATGTTCATTTGTATCTGTTTAGGGTTTTTTGGTTGCCTGTTTTTTTGTTTTTTTTTGGTAACAGACCTGCCCTAAAATAGCAAAGAAAGAAATTTGTACTCTGCAGTGTTATGAATCTCTGCCAAATTAATGCTATCACAGTTGAGCCTAATCTGAGGTTATAGTACCAGCTCTGTCTTTTCCTCTGGTCTCCTTCTTGTCTTCCTTCTCCTTTTGTCTCAGTAAGTTGACCTCTGATTTCTCTTTCTAGGGACTTAAAATATAAGTGAAAATCTTCCCCTCTCCAAAAATCAGTAAAAGCCAAGGAAATAAAGTGGAGTTTTTTTCAGACATCTTTAACCAAAAAAAAAAAAAAAAAACAAGTTTATGTCTTGATAATTTTTTAAACTGTAGTAATCTAATAAATGAAAATTATAGTCAAAATAATAAATTATACTACAGCCTTCTATACTAATTTGTGCCTTCAGCTAGAGTGTTATATGTGTTCTCTTTCCCTTGTTAGGAAAATTGAAATATAAACACTTGACACACCCACGAACTAGCCAAGTGTTACTAAGTTAATAATATACAATGTAAAGCACTTAGTCTCCACAAGTCAAAAAAACCTTTACTCATTATTTCCCCAAGGACCTCAGAAATTCTTGGTGTCACTATAAGCATCTTGTTTTTAACCTGAATCTATTATTCTTACCTGGCCCCCCACAAGCTTCTAAGAAAAAAGTTCAGCTTTTCCTTTAATCCAGGAAGGAAATTGAATTTTCCCTCTGCAAGCTTCCCTGTATGGTCTTCACTTTGTGGACACTGAGGCAAAACCAACATTGAGTGACCTCATCCAGACATCTCCAACCTGGCACTGGAAATCTGAATGAATCTTTCCTTTTTTTGTTCTGCAAGTTTCAGAGATAAGAATGGCTTCCTGTGTATTCTGGAAACAGATCCTTGAACTTGTGCCAGTTAGTGCCATGTTTCCTCTTTTGGTTTGCTCAGAGGATGGCCCCCAAATTGAAAAGGAGACCAAATCGGTCATATCTGCCGTGTCTGAATTTGACCTTATTTGATGACTCAATTCTTTTCTTTCCATTATTTTGTTCTCTCATGGCAATGGCCTATACTGCACAAGAACCACCACTTAAAGCAAGTCTATTAGAAATAGACTTTGCTCACCCCTATTGTAAGGGGTGAGCAAAACAAAAACATACTCCAAAATTTCAAAGTGCCATTAATCAATTTTAAAAAATAAAGGTAATATGAAATGAGG